TCAGTTGCTGACTTGCATGGCCGAAGTCAGCTGGAAGACTTGGGCAACCTTGGCCACCTGCGCCAGAGGCCTGTGGGAAGAGGACGGGGGGGGGGGGGGGGGGGGGGGGGGGGGGGGGGGGGGGGGGGGGGGGGGGGGGGGGGGGGGGGGGGGGGGGGGGGGGGGGGGGGGAGGGAGGAACGGACAGACAATGGCTTGACTGGCTTAGATCCAAGATGGTGCATCGCTTGCTTGTTACCCAACTCCTTTTGAGCTGGGGGACTGCAATGGGAGCCAGCAACTGGTTAGACTGGAGGCAGAAGCTTCTCCAGCAATTCTTTACAGTTGCCATCTCCTGAACGGGAGCTGTGCATGGTAACTGGGTATGTCTTGACCTGGATCCTGGCAGCTGTGACACCAGACTGGAGTCTCTCAGCTGTCAGGGCATCAAATTGAATGGGGACCATGGGATCCAGCTCCCCATGGCACTGAAGGATGGCCAGGTCCTTGGCACTTCCATCGGCCGCTTGGGGAAAGTTCCGATGCAAGGCAGCTGACAGCTCAATGCCATGATGCCAGCCAGAGGTGGGGCAGGTAAGGACTGTGTAGAGGGACAGGGCCGCGCCCTGTGAAAAGCCAGCCAGGGCAATTTGATTGGCAGGGATCCCATTCTTCACCTCATGTTCAATCAAAGTCTTGACGTTTTCTGATGCCAACTTCATCCTCCCGGGCATCTGGACTCAGTCCCATCAAGTCAAACCAGGGAGGTATCAGTATCTTCATGGTGCACGTCACAGGGTTCCTGGGCAAATGGGGACCGATGCTCATGACGTGAGGATGGCGGTTGGTGGAGAGTTTGTCAGCCTAGCCTTGCCCTGTGTCTCCAAGTCCATGTAAAAACAAAATAAATAAATAACCGCGGGCCGTTTCCTACTCAGTTCCAGATACAGCGACAACGTTGGTGAGTAGAGGCGCAGACATGGTGTTACCACACATACACTGCAGAGCTTTCAGCTGGCGGGGTCGCACTTCCAGGAGCTTCTGAGACCATTAGGGCAATTCTCCCCTTTCTCCAGCACAGACACACACTCTTCCTTACTTTGAAAAATTTAAGAAAAATACATGATACCTAAACTAACTTTTGTTCAAATTCATCAGAGGTCAATAAATCTCTGATTTATTGATGAGTTGTGAGCCCTGACAAAAATCCTGTCCCTGAGTTGGGCACCTGCAGTCCTGGCTACCTGGGAGGTTGTGGTGTGGTGATCGCTGTAGATCAGAAGCCTGTGGTCAGCCTGGACCACACACTGGGACCCTGGACCCTTTGTGCCATCAGCTGTATGCTGCAAACACTTCTTTTCCAAAGTCAGGCTCTTCAAACCGAGAAAATGAAACATCAATGCAAGCTGTGACGCCCATTTTTAATCTTTTTCAGCTGTTACTTTGTACAATTTGTTCTCATGTGTGTTACTGAATATGCTAAAATATGCGGTTGCTGAATGACAATGAATTAGGTCTCGGGACACTCCAGGGAGAAGGGACACCAATCTCTAGTGAGACAAGGTCTGTAAACTTCAGTCCTTTGGCAAAGCCACCAACCAGGGGTATGGAGTTTTCCTGGGCTAGAGAAGAGAACTCTGTGCATGTGAATGAATCGTTAGTGTTCTCTAGGAATGAGTTATTCTCATAGCGCCCAAGGGGCTAGATGGGCATTGATTTTCCTTCTCAGTCTCGGTCGAGTGACCTTTGACAGGACAGTGACAGAGACTATTATGACAAAGTAATACTGAACTAACACTATGAACAGTTGAACATGGTGGGGCACACCTGCATCCTAGCACTTGGAAGGACAAAACAGGAGGATTTAAACTCTAATCTAGTCTGGGCCACACAGTAAACTCTAGGACAGCCTGGGCTGTATAATGAGACCTTGACTCAAAAAGCAAAAAATGGGACAAATAAAACCTAAAAATAATTAGAGATGGTTTGCTCCGAGATATTTCACCAGACTTGGGTTGCAGCTCACCTTCAAACTCTCAGGCATCTTGCAAAGTAGACCAGGCCCTCATCGGAGGCCAGAGAGGAAAGAGGAAAGACAAGGAACCTTTCTACCATATCCATGTGATGGCTTGATTCAGAACCACCAGGAAGACAAACATCTGGGTGTGTCTGTCAATTCCAAAGAGTTCTGACTCAGGCGGGAAGACCTGCCCTGGACGTGAGAGGTTTTGTTCATGAATTGGGATCCCAGGCTGAATGAAAAGGAGAAAGTGAGAGGAGCAACAGTTTCATCTCCGCTTCCTGACTGTGGATGCAATGGCTGATAGCTTCCTGCTGCTGTGTCTTCCCCATCACGAAGGTCTGTACCCCACACCCCACTCCTGTCAAAACAATCCTTTAAGTTCCAGTGAAAAGAGTAATTAATATCCCAGCCAAGGAAGACTCTGAGAATCCAAAGGTCACAGGATGTCTAAAGTGGCAGACACCATCCACTCATCGCACACTATTTGGGAACTATGTTGACACTAGTAATATATAGGGTCATTTTCTCTGTCTGTGCACACTGGCCTCTGTGCTCTTTTTTTTTTTTAAATATTTATTTATTTGCTTATTATGTATATTCTGTACACGTGTATGTCTGCAGGCCAGAAGAGGGCACCAGACCTCATTACAGATGGTTATGAGCCACCATGTGGTTGCCAGGAATTGAACTCAGGACCTTTGGAAGAGCAGGCAATGCTCTTAACCACTGAGCCATCTCTCCAGCCCCGCCACTGTGCTCTTAATTAAAGTGTAGTGATGTATCAGAGAGCAGAGACGCACTCCTCAGGAGTTTCCCATTCTTTTGACAACGAAATCAGACTTGATTTTGGTCTACCTTGATGAGAAAGTTAAAATACAGCATATTTCCTGGTAGTCCCAGCACCTCCTGTGTCTTCACAGCACTTTATCTGGGCAAGTTCTCCATACAGACTGCTAGGCCTTTAGGATCCTGAGGACATAGCAGTGTCCTTGGAGCCCATCATGAACGGTGCCATTTAGGTAGTCTGTTCACAGTCATTTCCTAGTCCCAGCCCTGGGAATGTGAGGAAGAGTCTTCAGATGGTTGTGTGTGTGTGTTTGCACGTGCATGCAAGGCACATGCCATGACACACATGTGGAGGTCAGAGAAACTTGTGAGAGTCAGTTTTCTTCCATCGTGTGGTTTCCAGGAGTGAAACTCAGACTGGAGACACCTTTACTCACTACGCCACATTGCCAGCCCCCTACACACTCTTCGACAGCAGGGGTGGCTCAGTAGGAGCACTTGCCCCTGCAAGCCTGACGACTTCTGGAGTTTGATCTCTGGGACCCACATAAAGGTGGAAGAGAACCAACTCCACATGTGCTGTGTACCATGTGCCCCCTTCCATTGTCCCCCCCCTTTTTTTTTCAGAGAGAGAATGAACACATTCTTTACATAGCCATGGATCTGTGTGAGCGGGTTCATGGCAACCTCCTCAAATGCATCCCAGAACCAGTGGGCTCTCTCTCTCTCAGTGTCCTCTCCCGCCTGCCACCCTCCACTTAGGCTCAGCTGCCATCATTTCCCCAACAGGCTCCCTGTAACACTCATTACTTTTCCAGCTACAGTTTTTAGTTACTTTACTTAAAAATTGGTTAAGTGTCTCTCTCCACGGAGACTGCAATTTCTCATCAAGGAAGAGAGTATGTCTTTCATTTTTTTTTTTTGGAGTCCTTGTCCCTTGATGTCTGTATTTTTTACACTCATTAGAGATGGTTTTGAGTAACCATGTAGTTGTAAGGAACTGAACTCAGGACCTCTGGAAGAGCACACGGTGCTCTTAACCATGGAGCCATCTTTCCAGCTGGCATGTGTATAGCAGTGCTCAAATACGTCCACTGTACAACCACCTCCAGCAAAGATGGCATTTGTGTCTGTTTGTCCTTGAGTTCAGCATGTATCAGTTGCAGTTGGAGCTGGCATTCTGGGCTGACTTAGCGAGCAAGTTCAGGTACTGTTGGCAATGACTGAACATTGTTTTGATTATCTGGCATATCTTGCTTCTTTGCCTTGATGAAAACCAACATTTATTATGGAAATATGTACCAAACGTGTCCCTTGTCCTTACACAGCTTCCGTCTAGGGGAGAAACACGGATATTAAACAAGTGACAATAGCCTTGAGCTTTTTTCAGAGATTTTAAAATCTCTGTGTATGTGTGTGCCTGTGTGACGTATGCATCCACAGGGGCTAGAGCATACCCTGGATGCCTTGAAACTGCCATTACAAGTGTGTGTGAGTTTTTGGGGAACCGAACTTGTTCTCTGCAAGAGCAGCAAGTGCCATTAGCTGCTGAGCCATTGCTCCATCCCGTGTGTGTGTTGTGTTGTGTGTGTGTGTGTGTGCACGTGTGCATATGCATATCCATGTGGGCATGTGCATGCAAATCACTGCGGAAGCCAGAGTTCCACTTGGGAATGGAGTTCCAACTGGTAGTTGCCAGACAGACACAGGACATGGGTGCTGGGGACTTAACTTAGGTCTCTGGAAGAACAACAAGGGCTCTTCGCCACTAAGCAGCTCTCTTCAGTCTCATGTTTACAATTCCAAAGAGGGGCAGTTGAGTCTCAATGCAGACATGCAATAGGAACGTCTAGGTTGGGTGTGGGAAAGGCAGGCTTCTCTGTGTAAGGAAAATGTGAGCTGAGACTCAGACTGGAGAGAAGTTGGGAAGTAGGGTTGTGGAGGCCTAGACCTAGGTTGACGGGACTGACTGGGGAAGAGTATGCGCCCAGCGCCTCACAGTTCTCCTGCTGACTGGGGTTGAAGCCAGCTGTGCTTTGGCCTAAGCCCCCTTCCATCAGGAGCAGGCTGTCTGAGACAGTCTGTGGGAGACAGCAGCACATGAATGGTACCGTTTTGGCTTCATTCTCTTGTTTGGGGACTACACGGACTGCTGCGAGGCAGGGCGGCCCAGTGGTCTTGTTGGACCAATATTAAACAGTATCACAGCAAATAGGTTTTACTCTTCTTTATTAATTTAGAAAAAGAGCCCGAGGCCGCTGGACCAGCAGTACAAAGCACCAGGAGTTAATACTATTCTGGTGAAAGGGTTGGCTTTATAAAAGAGAAGGAGAGGCAGGAGCTGCCCTGCTTCTGGGGCCAGGCCCAGCCTAGCACCCAGAGCCTTAGAGCAGGACCTGGAATGAGATCCATGGGAGAGGGCTGATGGGTAATTCTGAAGCAGAGTGAGTTGGAGACCATGATGACAGATGGCAGGCGTAGAGGGTAGGGCAGTGAGAAGCATTTTGTGGCTGATGAGGACAGAAAACTGCTGGCTTAAAGCTCCTCCGTGAGCCACGGGCAGGAGCTCTCAGGGGACCTCAGCTCTGGGGCTAGGTAGAAAATGCTGCAGATACTTGTGGACTTCGTGAGTCCAGACACGACTCCAGGGCAGAAGGGCCTTTCCCCTTCTCCACCAGGAGCCATCTTTTCTCTATACTACACATGGGGCTTTAGGGCCCAAGGCACAGGAGAGGCTTAAAGCCTCACAGTGGGAGGAGGAAGGGGAAAGAGTCTCAAGTGTCCCAACTTAGGAAACCAGGATTGAGACACAGCACAAGATAACAGTGTGCCTGTATAACAGGTTAGAGTATGGAGCAAGATTAGTTTTGAACCAGCTCCACAGCAGAGGTGTTTGTATGGACCCTTGGTGAATGAAGCTTACACTATGTGCTGGAAGCCAGCAGACCTGGGCTATATACCTGCTGTGTTCCATCCTGCCCTGATGTGGTCCATCCTTCCTCTTCTGCCAATGAGGTCATGGAAGGTGCCCTTGGTGGGTAGGTGGGAACTGGGTTTAGACGCAGGCATGAAGTGATGGAGAAGGAAGACGTTCCTGCATGGAACCTACTCTCTGACACATTCCCAAACTAGAAAGGCTGCGGGGAGCCCCCCTCTGTCCAGAGGAAGGGAAGGCCATGCAGGGAGACTGCACGGCTCATGCAATCTCCTCATAATCACCACCTGGTAACACTTGGCGTGGAGAGAGTGGGCGGCACTAGGCAACCCTTTATGCTTTTCCCCAGAGTGGGGAGTTCAAGGCCTCTTGTGGATTCTGCCTCTTGCCCTCAGCATGGGATCAAAAGTGCTCATTTTCACTGTGGTCCTATCTCGGGAACAGCCCGACTCTGCCTGGCGCTGGCACGTGTTAGTTGGTAAGGAAAGGACAGAGGTTCTGACTAGGACAGGGAGGTGGCAGCAACTCTGGCTTCCTCCTCTTTTTCTCAGAGCAGCTCAGTCGACCGAGTTACAGATCTCTTCTACCACAGCGTTGAAGATGTGTGGCTGGTCGGCATAGACGTGGTGCGACGCCCCCTCGATCTCCTGTGGACATGACAGTGGGCTCAGCTCTCAAGTCCCAGCACTGGGAAGTGGTCCTAGCAGTTCTTCTCCCACCCTTCCCTCAAATCTTGCTTGCCTGCTGCCCTTCGCTCTTCTCAGAAGCAAGACCCTGCCTTTTCTCTGAACACTGCGCACTCCTTGGTGCAGTGACGGTCAAAAGCCCATTTTATTTTAGGGCGACGTCCACTGTGTCTTTCCTGCTCAGAAGCCCCACTGCTCATCTATTTTGTTTTATGCACCTCCTAGGGAAGGGGGAGGGGTGCAGAAGACAAGTGTGGCGGGAAGGCTTTCACTGCAACCTCCGCTACACAGCCTGCTGCTCACTGCTGTGGTTTAGGAGGGACGATGGGGAGGCTGGAGGTCTGGAATGGAAGCACATGCCTGGCTGCTCACCAGGAGCCTGTCTTTTACCTGAATTGGACTGCACAGGAAAGGAAATTCCTAACTCTCTAGCAGGGGGCTGGGGAGGGGTGAGCTCTCAAAGCCAGTGCTCCATCTCATCTGTATATTTTTGTTCTGGTTTTGATCACCCTCTGTCACCCACTGTCCGCTGCAACTCCCACCCCTTGGCACGTCAACCTACCAGGTCCCGGACATAGGAATCCGGCCTTTGCATCTTCACCTTTTTCCCTGTGCTGGTATCTATCCAGGTGTTAGCCCCATAGATCATGGTGATGGGCACATCTTTTCGAATTAAGTGAATTCGCTCCAACATGGGGCGCCGGGCCCAGCCAAAGGACTCCATCATGGCTTTGAATGCTGTTTCCCCACTGAGGGAACAAAACAGTGAGGTGATTGACATATAAACAAACCCTGAAGCAGAAAATGTCAACTTGCTGCTTTTCAGAGGCTGGGCTGGAACTTACTGTCTTTATAATCTTCTCACAGCCAGTGCCAGCTCATTAAACATTGACGAGATTAGGAGATGAGTGACACACCTCAGGGCATGATGTGAAAACCCCCATGGCATAGGGAGCGGTTCAAGAACACACTGAGTGTTTATGTAATATATATTTACACCTGGGCTGGGTGAAGGGACACAGGAATGGGACAGGTGCTGGGCCTACCCTGCTTGGAGTTAGCACTGTTGCTTACATCTTTGGAAGGTGGTGGCTAAATAATCTGAAGACTATGCTTTAACTCAAAATGTCCTAAGGATGATGATGATGATTACTATTATGCCCAAGACAGGGTTACTCTGTGTAACAGCTCTGGCTATCCTGGAATTAGCTCTTGTAGACCAGGCTGGCCTCGAACTCACAAAGATCCACCTGTCTCTGCCTCCTGAGTGCTGAGATTAAAGGCGTGCCCACCAACGCCCCGCTGTTCTAAGGACTATTAAAAGGGGTTGGAGGTACAGAACATGGGAGACAGAGGGAGAATTCACTAGAGGTGAGCCCTGAGGAGTGAGCGTTAGACAGAGAAGGATGTGCTAAAGACACTCGGGGATGAAGAATGAAAACGCACCAGGCTTTTGAGACTGGGGATCAGCAGCTGCTGCTAGGGGGACACCACAAATGTGAATTCAATCTCCCTATCAGGTTTATGTGAGGCTGGGACAGGAGCCAACTTTCTGACTAGCTTGTAGCTTTTTGTAGGAGGTAGGGAGGTTGAGGACAGTGTTCCCTCCTGGGCTCTGCCTGTTCGGTGTAGTTACATTTCTGGTTTCCTTTGCACCTCGGGATGAATTCTGTCTGTACCAGCAGAAGCAGAGAACATCTTAGGAGACATGGTACCACGGACTCTGCAGTCTGTCAGACATGCATTTAAATCGTGTCTTCTTAGCAAATCATGTAACCAGAACATACCTCGGTTTTCTCATATACAAACTGGAGGGAACTATGCCCACTTTCTCAGGACAAGATGAAAAGAATGAAGATATATACAGAGCTCCCAAGTCTAGGTGGATGAAGAAGGCACTATTCAAACATTTTCCCTTGGGCCAGAGTCATGTTTTCCAAAGGACTGATGGGAATTACTGAAAATCTGTCAACTAGAGTAAAAGAGCTTGGTGCTATAAAATGTCCGGAGGGAGAGAAAGAGAGCTGGCCACCAGACGGGGCTGATGATGAGCCCACGGGGACTGAGAGGAATCCAAGAGCAGGAAGCTGGGGTGGCCACTTTAACTGCTGAGGTTCCTATGGCGCATTGTTTCGCTGGGACCCTGCTACTAGCTATAATAATCACATGCAATACTGGCTCCCACGCTGCACCGAGACTAATGCTCACAGTATGGCTGAAAGGTCGAGCCTCACCTTCCTCACAACCTTGGGGTCACGGTGACTTGGGCAGGCTTGGAAAGAGGTGGGTAGTTGTCTATGGCTCCTGCAAGGTCAGGGTGAGGTCTCCACAGGGTGGTGCTACCAGTGTGCCCTGCTGGTATCAGCCTCTCACAGAGCCTGGCTGTGGGAGATTACTTTCTTGGCTCTGTCCTGGCTGTCAGTGCTGCCAAACCTGCAGGTCAGCAGCTTTTGGAGCTTGCCTGTGAGTAGTCAGAGATGAGAGCCTCTCAGTTCTCTGAACACGTCCATACTTTTAAAAGAGTAGAAGGATTTTCATGCCCATTCTAAGCTATTTCGAGGTGTATATAACTGAAATAAATGCATATTCTTTCTTTGACTATACTCCAGACATGTATCTTATAGATACGTCATGTGTATTTATACAAAGGGACACATTCTAGGAGTCTCTCTGAAGCAATGTTACATGAAATATTAAACTGAAAATGAGGAAACTTGGAAACTGAAGATCGTGGATATTCAAAGATGTTTCTTTCTCTATTTGCCTTAAAAACAAGCAAAAACCACATTTGCCTATAAAATCAAACCAAAACCCAACAATAAAATTTCTTTAAAAAATTAGTTTTTCAGTTAAAAACTGCCTTTTAAATGTTTTCCATACTATTTCTCATCAGGCCAGTTGCTGACTCCTAGGGAAGCCATGAGGTCTATAGAGAGGGACAGCTTCTTTAATTAAATCTATTATCTTCTATACCTTTAGTGGCCACCCCTAGGGAACTCTCTGGAAATGATCAAGCCTGCTGGTGCTCACGTTCCCCTGAGTCAGAGTTTTATGGAAGAAGACTAAATCACAAAACGCTGCAGCTCTTTAAGCCGTCCGCCCTGGGCTGGTCCTGGGAGCCGCCCTCACCTGGGATTCTGTGCATTGCAGTGGTAGATATATTCCGAGATGGTATCGTCCTCAAAGAAGTCTGCAAACTTGCGCTTGAAGTCAGGACGGAATCTCTGCACCAGCCCAGGCCCTGGGAAAGGATTGAAGAAACAAGAGCATGATGCTGGGAGCATGGCATGTGCCTGCAATTCCAGCCTCAGCAAGCCGAGGCAGGAGAACTGTTTCAAGTTCAAGGTCAATCAGGGGATCCAGTGAGACCCTATTTAAGCCCCTACCAAAGAACAACATCAACAATCACCCAAATCCAAACCACGCAAAACCACGGAGTGGCCAGTGTGGGTGGTGGTGGTGGGGACAGAGAATAAACTCCTGCCTGCTCATGTTTAAACAACCTGAACCAAATTTATCTAAGCATTTGGTTCCTTTATGCATTTAACATGGCAGTGGCAAGAAGGGTGAAGAAGCCTGCTGGGAAGAAACAGACGACTTCAAACGTCAGAGCTCGACTGCTGCTCACCAATGAGTTTAGAGACAGCCTAACATCCCCAAGGAGCCAGGCGATTTTCACTTCAGTAAATCCCAAGACTTTCCCTACAGGTTCACAAGTTCTGTGAGTGTCTGCAGCTAAGAGAATTTTCATTTCCAGTCTGAAGTGTGTCCCCTCCTTCCCCGGCCTCATGGGAACCCTGATAGTTTTTTATTCTCTGAAGGCACCAGATGAAACTCCCATTTCCGAGCACTCTCTCACTTTCAGGCTGTAACAGAATACATGGAGAGTGACCTTAATGGCACCGCTGGCCCAGGCTCGGGACACCGCGCCTCTCATCACAGTACACACGTACGCCATCGGTATATGCGGGCGGACTGGAGGACTGGACCTACTGGCCACTTTCTCTGCCCTGCAGGTCTTTTGTCTGTGAGAGGTGTCTGGGGAAGAACTGGGAATATAGCCATAGGCCCTCTCTGACACAATCCCATGGCTGCCAGGCAGCCAGCCAACACAGTAGCTGAGGCCCTGAATGAACCTGGCCTGATCCAAGGCCAGGAAAGGGGAGAATGGTTAGAGCAGGAAGGATGGCAGGGGTGTCTGCTGGAGCCACCTGGACTAAGGTCAGCCCTCTGCCCGCCTGCTCCCCTTTGGCACCCATGTCCCTTGCTTGCCCCTCTTCTTCCAGAACTCCGCTACCTTCTACATCAGGGCTGGGCTCATTTTCCACTCTTCCTTAGGAGCCATTCTGTTTCAGCCACTGCAACTAGTGACTACTGGACATTTCTATACAAATATAAGCTATCGGTACAAAACAGGGTCACCAATCTTTTCAATAGAAGGAATCTTTTTACTTCACCAGTGTAAAAAGCTCCTCAAAGGGAAGCACGTGGGCAGTGTGAGATGAGACTGCGGAGCCTCTGACAGACGCGCTACAGTGTGGCCTGCTGTCTCTTCTGCATAGAGAACCTTCTGACAGCTACTCAATGCTAAGAAACCCAGAACGGAGATGTGTTTCTTTAGAGCAGTGCGTGCACGGTTCAGAGTGACTTGTCTGCACTGTGCTACGTTAGAAGCTGAGGTTCAGAGCCCTCCTTGCTGTAGGAACGGGACTGAGTGATAGTTACTGCAGACAGGTGGTCATATAAACTCACAGCAGAGAAAGAGAAGCCACACACCATAGCCCCTTCCTTTCTTTGGGATCTGCCGACACATAAGGCGGTCATTCTGTTCTCTCTGCTGATACAGATGGAGGGAAAATATGACAACCATCTGAAGCCTACAATAAAGAAATGCTGTCCTGATGATCGTTTTAAGTGACAATGCCAGGTCAGGCTCTGTTTTATGAACATGTGAGGATGGCAGGAGACCAGGTGCACCAAGGCAGTGGTAAATGGGGTGGCCTCAGTTTAAAGACAGAGTTCTTCTCCTGGAGGTGACTCACCCCAAGGCCCAGCCACTCGAAGAACAGCCAGTGGATTGGAACGCCCCAGGACAGATGCCACAGCCTTGACCCAGGTTGGAGGTGCACGGATCTCACTGGGGTCAGTTGGTCGTAGGGGAAAGCCCCATGGGTCCACCAGAATAAGGTGTTTAACTCTACATTAAGAGAAGAAAGAAACAGAGGGTACACTGTGTTTGCCTGGAGGTCTCATGCCTCTTAAACTGCTGGGAAGTGAGAGTTTTAGTGGAAATCAGTATTGGAATGCGCCTGGTAAGGCACGGAGTCAGTCATGAGGGGCGAGGGTAGTTCATATTACCTCTCAGGATACTTGATAGAGTAGGAAGTGGCCAGGAATCCCCCCAAACTGTGCCCCAGGAGGATCATGGTGGGGATTCCCATTGTCTCCCGCCATGTCTCTATTGAGGTCACAAACTCATCTTCCGCTCCTTCTGGGTCCCTTGGGAATGTTGGCCTTGAGCTTCTCCCGAAGCCAAGCAGATCAAAGGTGTGGAGAGTGCGGCGGGTACTCAGCGAATCCATGTTGAGGATCCAGAGGCCCACGCCGCCCCCAAAGCCATGTACCATCACCAGAGGGGTGCGATCCTTTTGCTCTGGGCTCACAGTCACCGTCCAGATCTTGTTCTGGTTTGGGAGGGAAACATAACGGGCCAGGAACTTGTTCTGGAGACCTGGGAAGGGAAGAATTCCAGGGTAAACTGACAAGCCAGTAGGCTGAAGCCCTCTGTGGCCATTGCTTCAGTTCTTGCCTCTATGCTCCCGTCCTGTAATCTGTGAGCCACAGAAACTTTTCCTCCCCAGGTTTGATTTGGTCACTGTTTTATCTCAGAAACAAAAAGTGACCTTCAACAGCTCCCGTCTATCTCCAGCCTCCTTAGACCGGCTTTAGCCTGAACCCTAGGTTAGTAGGACAAGCCCCTTCCCCAGCCCTGTCTTCAGATCTGATCCAGTCCCTTGGCTTCTACCTTTGATTTGATGTGTAAGCCCTGGACTTTTCTTTACCAAGAATCTCGCTGATTCCATTCAGAAAGAACTCCCTGTTCTTGACGTCTTTAGTGATGTCTATCCACCGACTCCGTTCCTTAGCCCTAAATCCCCAGCTGTTCTTGTAGTATGGGGAATCGAGAATGGTATCTTCCCAATGACAGCAATTTTATACAGTCATTTTAAAAGACTTAATAAGTACCAGAGTAAGTTTTCTTTTATACTTCATAAACTAATGAATTCAAATCTAAGGGAAATTTGGTCTGTAGGCTATAAGAGGGATCAAGATGCTGTGCCCAATCTCCTTTGGGTCCCTGATGTCAAACGATCCTTGGACTCGTTCTTGAATTTGCATGTGTTTGGAGAGGAAGAGAGAACTGTGGTCTAGCTGGGCAGAGTGGTGATGGGAGTGGGTTGAGCCAAGGGCTTATTCCTCTTAGACACTGAGGTGGGGCAGTGTTTTTCTTCTTGCTAGTGTGGCAACAGTCATATGAAAGAGCTTCCTGGGTGAATCAGATGCATCTGGATGGAGGCTTGAGAGCCCTGGTTCCTTTCAGGCCAGAGACAGTAGCTCCACCTGGGCGGAACAGCAGGGTTGGGCATGATGGGATGGGGTTATGGGGAGATATGAGCCTGGGGTCTTGCTGGAACCAAAGGCTAGTGCTGCTCATGGGTCACCTTCTTCAATATTGCTCACGCAATCTGGTCTGTGTGAACTCCAAATAACTGTGGTAACCAGGCAGCTGGTAGGTTACATCTAGTAGAAGGCAGGAAACAGCAATATTAGAAAACACAGGATTGCTGACACTCAAGTAGGAAGGCGGTGAATTAAAATGTGCTTAGTTAAGTGTTTAGGAGAGAGGGAAGAAAATGAAGAGATAGGGAAAAGATGAAGGGGCGAAGTATCTGTGTGCATTAATGCACACTGGGATGTATAGGGCCTAAGGTGAAACTGGAGGATGTGGAAGGGGTTACCACAGGGCTAGGGATTTGAGGGACCCCTGTCACGAAATACTGTGTCCTCTGTCTGCCCCTCCCCTCAAACCACCCATTTTCTTTCCTCTGGCCCATACACTGCTCATCAGGAATCGGTGGGCTCAGTGGACCCAGCTTGGAGAAGATCTTGTATCTTTTCCAGACATTTAAAGGGAGGAGCAAACTGTTCCCTCTACTTACACTGGAGGATCCTGGCTTCCACATTCTTCAGCTGAGACATGGAAGTGGGGCGCCAAGTGGGGAGCCAGCTACTCAGCCAGCCCTGAGGCCTACGAGACAGAGAGGTACTTGTTGGCCACACTGAAAAGTTCCCAGTCTTGCTGATAGCTCCATGAGTTATCAGGGTACAAGGTGTGTTTCCCAGCCCCACGAGGCCTGCTCCTCATGGCCTTCAGTGACAGCAATGCCCTAGCAGGCCCTCATACTGTTACTTTTCCTTGGCAAATGGCTATTGACAACAATGGCCCTTGATAGATATTACAACACCATGTGCACAAAGCAACTTTTTCCCATCTATTATCTTCCTGGAGTGTCACAGTTCCCCTTTGTTAGTGGTTATCATAATTTATGTTCAAGGAGATCTCAAAGGGAGAGGGAGTGACTTTAATATTTCCATTATTTCTGTCACCCCCAGAACTAGCTGTTCTTTTAGGGGAGGACAGACAAGTTCCCATGCCATCTGTTATCTTACACGCTTCTGGAAGTATGGGCCGCTGTTAGTCCCTGATTGCGAAATCCATCAGCTCTGAACTTGGAGCTGGGGTAGGCAGGGAGCAGGAGAGGGCTATCTGGGTTCATGTCCTACTGTCCACCAAGAGACACAGGTGACTCTGGCCTACTTCTTCGGGTTGTAAAGTGAGAAGAAAGCTTACCTATGTCCTAGAGTAAAAGTGGTAACTCCTCCTGCTTTCTCCGTCACACCCAGTGACTAAGCCATTGAGGTTACAAGCCCCGGTTCTGGAGTGAACAGAACTCCTGGCTCTGAATTACAGACCTGCCACTGATAAATAGACTGGCTCCGAGGTCCAGATAGGAAAGGAACCTTGTCAAGTACCTGCCACAAACTGAACTGCTCCGTGAATCACAGTTTCTACTCTACTTCCCCTATCTTTCATGTTATTCCTCTTTTTGTGAACTCTGCCTAGGTGAAGGCTATAGGATGGTTGCCAGAAGCTGCAGCAAGGGCTTGTGGGTATGAGCATGAGAAGGCTCACAAGGCCACCCTGTGGAAGAACCATCCCAGCTACTCGAAGCATACACAGTGGGCCCCCTGAACATCACGGGAAGCACAGATGCTACATTAGGGTGTTTTCTGGAAAATCACCTAGTTCAGCCTCTGCTTCTCAGGTGAGCAAGCTGATTCCCAGAGAGGTCACCAGCAAGTAAGAAAAAGAATGCCTCCTCCGGGGACCTGCTAGTCCCAGCTTTTTGAGGCACATCTGAACACTGCAGCATATAACCACATTTTATTTGTATCTATTTTCTGAAGGGAATGCGGTCTAAAGCCAGAAACTAGAGTTCTAATCCCAGCAAGGCCACTTAGCAGCAGCGAGACAGTGACACATTAGCTTTCTGTGTCAGCTTCTTCAGCCACAAATGGGAGGTAATTGTATCTACCTCACAAGTTTCTAAAGAAATCTGTGAGTTAACATCTAGAGCATATAGAACAAGGCTTAGAACTGATAGACACCAAGTCAACATTATCTTCCCTCAGCCGATCATTACCTGTATATATTATCACTATTTTTAGGTAGCTGCTCTCAATGAAAGTGTGAGGTTTGAAAGAAAACCTAGTGTTGGTGTGGGAGTGGTATATAAACGGCTTCGATCATATGAAAGCTGACAGTCTCAACCAATCTAATCCTAGGGACACCCAGGACCCTTTTAACCATCTACCAGAATTCCCTGTTGGATTGAAGCACCAGGACCAGGACCACAGCTCTTGACCAGTCTCAAAATAGAAACTTCCTCTTTGCACTGTAGAGACTATAACCAGTCAGATCACGGCACTGGAACCCCACATATCTCTGTAACTGCCTACAGGAGCTCATGGGAAATGCTGTCCGCCAGACAGTGTGCTCCACAGTCCTGAAAGGGGCGGGGGTGGGGAGTACTGGGTATGTGTACACCTTTGCCTTTCTTCTCCAGACACTGATCCAGACAGAGAACAGGCCCTTGTCTTGTCTCACTGTGTTCTAGTGCTATCAGGGAGGAAAGGGCTGAGATGGGAAAGTAAGGCCAACTGCACAGAGCCCCTTCACCTGGCCCGGGGAGTGCCTCATCCTCATGGGGAAACAGAGCAATTCTGTGCTGGGAGAAAACCTGTTCTAGACCCCTGGAATTTTGAGCAAGCCTCTAAGTTTCTGTGGACACCGGCATCTTCTGATTTATTTGTTAAACAGAGCTGAATGACCTGCATCTTTTCTGGCTCTAGTGCTGTTTCCCCGAGTCTCTGTAGGCATCCTAAATTTCCTCTTAGAAAGCAATACTCTCCTGAGAAGTTCCTTCAAGTCCCCAACGCTATTATTTATTATTGTTACAAAGTTAATTCCTTCTGCCAAAAGGACAAATATTAGGTCAAGGGAAGGCCTTGTTCCCATGAAACCCTTGGAGCTGAGTCATTCTCCAAGTAACTTTTTCCTGGTCCTGTTAGACCGTCATCACACCACCCACAGGTGGCATCCCAAACTTGATGCCCTTGGGTGAGCGGTACCCTCCCCCCCACCCTCAATCTAACAAACATAATTCTGAACCCACTGCAGTAAGCATGTGTTTATAATGATTAAAAACATCATCAATTAGGATTGCAAGCAGAACGTGTCAAGGCGGCCAAGGGCTAAAAGAACTGGCAAGCCAGGTCCACACTAATCCCAGCGCAGCGGGGACTTCTCCCTCCCACTCTTTCTCCTTCAAGGCCTTTCACACCCACGACTTTGGTCCCGGGGCAAGTCTCCACAAGCATCCGGCTGCTGCCCCCACGTCCGCGTCTCTCAAGCTTGCTTTGGGGGCGGGAAGAGCAAGCTTATCCACTGCACATTACCACCAATCAAACTGCGCTACCAAGGGTGCTCGCGAAGACTAAGTGGAAAGTCATACTCCCCAGGCTGCACACAAGCTCAACCCTTAGCGCTCCCCCAGCTCCGCAGCCTCCTCAGCGCACCCCACCCCTCCCTGGAAGCCAACCTGAAAAGGAAAGACGGGAAAGTCTGAAGCTGTCTGCAACCACAGACAGTCCCCGGATCCTGACCCGGATAGACAGACAGAGATAGAAAGAGAAACGGACAGGAGTAACTCACTGCTGCTCCAGATCATCAGCCATAGTAAACAAGCCCTGCCGGGTCGAGCTGAGCCAGCCCATCCCTCCGCCTGACGCCAGAACCAGCTGACCCAGAGAAGTATCGGATAACAAAGGGGGCGGAGCCGGAGGCGGGGCCTGGGCCGCTAGTGGGGTTCATGAACCTGCGCCCCGTCCCACCGGCCAGCACCACTCCTGGGCTGGAACCTGTGGCGTACTTCCTTCTGTTTGCTCCCGCTGGCCTGCGTCCGGGCTGAACACTAGGGTCTCACAAAAGTAGGATCCTAATTCTTATCACCCACCTTTGGGGGACAGCGAGGGAGACAGGTCTAGAACTCCCTGTTCCTCACTGAAATGCCATCCGCTCCGCCTCCATATCTTCCACAATTAAAGAGTGGAAGGAACTGCCTCGACTTTGTCTCACACTCCGGAGCTTCCCTCTATGGCTCAGGTCCCTGACGCTTCACCTGCCTTTCCTAGTTCGTCTGTTAAAATGGTTTAGATGTTCGTGGAAACATCATAGGTTGCCCCCTAAAAGGGGCATTGGATATTGTAACCCAAGATTTTCAGATTTCAAAAACACAAAACCAAAATGCCTAGTTAAAATTGAATTTGAGACAGAAAGCAATTTTTAAAACTAAGTTTGCTCCATGCATTATTTGGGACATCCTGTATTTACAGCTCTAAGCAGAGCTGTGACATCTGTCAAGATAAGTAAGCATTCCTCTGCTCTGGGGATGTCTGTCTCCAACCCAGTTTCCAAGGAAAAATAGCTCCATCCTGCTCCCAGGGGAGGACCAGCTAAAGAACTAACATTAAGGCTGGGCATGCTTCATGTATGTGGGTGTGGGATACAGGATATTAGATGTGACGACTTATCTGACCCCAAAAGCTCTGAGCACATTTCAGGTGGGTTCTGCGGAGGAGTTCAAATCTTGAAGCTGGCTGCAGAACTCACCTGAACTGGCAAAGGGGGTATGATATCACCAGAGCTGCTCCATTTCAGATTTTCCACTCCATTAGCTTAAAACCACACTTCAGGAAAGAGAAATTTACAAAAATACCTTTCTTTTTTCCTTTTCCTTCCTACCTCTTTCTGAGATTCCCTCTCCTCTCCTCTCCTCTCCTCTCCTCTCCTCTCCTCTCCTCTCCTCTCCTCTCCTCTCCTCTCC